CAGTAGATAGTTGTATGTCATAGTTGCACAGCCTTCTAGTTGCTGTATGTGGGACGCGGCCTCAGCATGGCCAGAGAAGCGGTGCGTCGGGGCGCACCCGGGATCCGAACCCGGGCCACCAGCAGCGGAGCGCACGCACTTAACTGCTAAGCCATGGGGCCGGCCCGGGTTTTACATTTGCAAAGGGATGTGAACAAACAGACAAACACCAAAGAAGAATATGCAGCAGGGACCACATGTGGTCCACAAAGCCTAAGATATTTACTAGCTGGCCCTATATATAAAATGTTAACATACATCAACGTCTCTTTCCCCCACTGAACTGTATGTTTCCTCATGACCGAGATACCTACCTCTGCTTTGTTCACCTCTGTATCTTCAGGACATAGTAAAATGCCTAGTCAATAGGTACTAAAAAATAATTGTTGGGTAAATAAATGTCATGTGGCTGGAGAGGCGAGCAAAGGGCAAGTGATAAATTTGTATGCCAATCTAAGAAGTTTGAATTCTTGAAGCAAGGGGATCCTTTGTAAAATTTTAAGCCACCAATACTATTTGCTCATCTGAATCCTACCTCACAATTTAAATCCTGTTTCATGGAGGCTTCTCTGACTACCCTGGTTGCTGTGTTTTTTTGCTTCCCTCATCTCCCTCCGGGCTCACTGTCAGTGGTACCCGGCAGCACAGTGAGGAGGCTGAGTATGGACTTTGGAACCAACCACATCAGTGTGAGGCCCATCTCTGCCACTTCCTATCAGAGTAACCTTGGGTAATCTGACCTCTCCATTCCCCATCTGTAAAATGGGATGATAGCAATAACTGACTCCTAGGCTTGTTGTAAGGATTAAATGAGTCGATATTGATAAAATTTAGAGCAGTACCTACACATGGTAAGCGCTACATAGGTCTTTTTGTGTTAAAATAACATAGCGGTCCTTTTGTATTGTTCATTATCTTTTCATATATATGCTTAAATCTCTCATGCAGACTCCTTGAGGAGAGGACAATGACTGCTATTTGTTCTCTCAATGTCTCTCCCACATTCACACTGGATGTCTTTAAGTTAGAAATTCAGATAACAAAATGGCTCCTATTGAAATTAGAGAGGCCTAGATAGTATGATCTTTTTGTTGTTTCTGTTCAGTCTCTGCTCCTTGGTTATGCATTTGAAAGGCCAAAAGAAAACGTGCAGGACAGCTTCCATGCACGTTGTACTGTGTTAGAAGCATAGAAATAGCGGTGTCCCTCTACACTTTACAAAAGGAATTCTTTAATGGTCAGTTAGTACCCATTGTGCATTCATGATGTTAGAGCCAAATTTCAGTTTATGTAGGCACAGATATGCTAGTCATCTTTTTTTCAAAATATTTCCAACATTGCCTAACCATCTAGAATAGTCCAGTCTAACAGATAGTTTGTGAAGACTGGACATTTCTGCCAGTACTTTTTTTTCACATCTTGGCTTAAACCAGTTCTAGCAGAGTTTTATAAAATTCATTTTACTTTCTATTTAATTGCTAAAAATGTAATACAATCTTCTGATTGCATCCAGTACTAAACTATCTCTTTGACACCAGATTGAATGGGAGACTACCCAAAGGCCTTTGCTTGCTAATTTTCCTTTATGGAAAAAAAAATTTCTATAAATTGATTTTTTCCAATGATTATCCATTTTTTAAGTTGGCAAATAGTTGGATTCAATCACTATCCAGAATCCTGGTCAGATGTCACTTGGGTGAAATCCTTTCTGATTCTGGGAGAGACAGCTATTCTGTCTTTCTAGCGTGGTCTACAGAACGCTGTGCAGAATTTTTCAAGGAAATCTGTACTTGGACTATAAATCCTTGTGTGCCAAGCGTATAAATATTTGTTGAATATAATCTCACTTCTCAAAATTGGTTACAAATTACTCAAAACTTGATATGGTTTTGCAACTTCAAACATATTTTTCCTTTCTTTTTCCTTGCTATGAAAGTTTGATTCGCAAACGTTTCGTTTTACCCAGCAATTCCTGTTTTTCTAAAGTTGCTTGGGATTAAATTTGATCAAGAAGACTGCAAGTCAGGCTCTCTTAAAATTCGATTTTATGTTGGTCGTATTGATCATATAACAAAAACTGTTGTAGAAAGTGCTCAAATAACTTGAAATAATTTGAATGGGTTTGAATTTTAGCCTAAAAGCTACAGCTAACAATTAACAGCATTTCTGAGGCATTAATTTTTAATTAAAAATACTTCCTTTTTAGTAATTATTCTCCAAAGGATTTTGACCATGAGAAACAGTGTTTAGATGCAATCAGAAAAATTCATCCTGGAAGAATAAAGTAGCAATAGGGTGGAGGTTTCTATTTCAGCCAGGAAAGTGTTTTATGTGGCATTTTTAAGGGTTTAATTTTCACCATACTTGGCAAAAAGGGGAATTTGAGGCTTATCATTTAAAAATTGACTAGTGACTGAGCCAGTCCTGATGGCTTAGTGATTAAAGTTCATCATGCTCTGCTTTGGCAGACCGGGTTTGGTTCCCAGGTGCGGAACCACACCGCTCATCTGACAGTAGCCATGCTGTGGCAGCGGCTCGCATAGAAGAACTAGAAGGACTTACAACTAGAATATACAACTATGTGCTGGGGCTTTGGGGAGAAAAACAAAGAAACAAAGAAACCAAAAAACAAAAAGAAAAAAACATTGACTAGTGACAATTTAAATACAGCAGACCAAAATGCAGAATTAACTTAGAAATAAAAAGTTATGCATTAAGGGGGCAGCAATATCATTGTGCAAGGCACACAAGACTCAGTTCTAGTCCAAGCTTGGCCACCAAATGCTTTGTGACCTTGGGCAGGAAATTAAACACTGGCCCTCCCTGTCCCCATCTGTCAACTAAAGGATCTGCCTGGATAATTTCTTAGTCTCAGAATCAGCTCTGATGTTCTGGTTCTAAATGTGAGGAAGTCTGTACCTTTGAGGCCTGGTTGTCCTTTGTCCCCCAGTAAATGGGATATTTGAGAAGGTCCTGAAGTTCCCTTGTCTCCTTCCTCCCCCTTGGCTCCTGGGGGTCCTCTCTCACCCTTTACTCCTGGAATGCCAAAGCTACCTAAAAGACAGGAGGAACAACATCAGCTCCTTAATTCTTTAAGTAGCTCCTAAGGCTTCAAAAGTTAACAGTGCTTCCCGTAAAACAAAACAAAACAAATAAACCAAAAAAATTAACAGTGCAGAGAACGTGATAAATTGCTGCCCCAAACAGGCAGCCACAGGAGGGTAGTAGTATAGGCTTGCAGGGAGAAAATCTGATTCCATTCAAATGTGAAAAAGGAATACCGAAATCTGCAAAATCAAATATATGGTTCTCGTGGAACTATTTTCCCTCAAATAATAAAGTGTCACTTATTTTGCTGCTAAATAAACAAATACTGTTCATGCCTCCTGATGGCTGGGAAGATAGTCTATCACTTACCCCTCTGTCCTGGGGTGCCTGGGTTCCCAGGAGGCCCCGGAGAGCCAATGTTTCCGGGAAACCCCATCATCCCAATGTCTCCTTTTTCACCTATGGAAACAAGTTAACACAAAGTGCACATGTTGTGCAAAGTGAGAAAAGCAAAATAAAATAAATTAAATTATACTTAGAAAGAGAGATGGGGAGTTGAAGGAATGATTTTGCTAAATAGGAAAATAACCATATTTGCGATGGGTCGGTAAATGGTCTTTTTTACATCATGTATGTGGAAGTTATTGATAGCAAATCACATTTGTGGATAAGACTAGAATATGTTGAAGTTTTGGAGCATTCCCTCCTCCCAACCCCTGATCAGTAGCTTTGTTATATTCTCTTATTTTATTTTCTTCATAGCACTCATCTGTAGTTGAACTTAGTTCTTAAACGTATTTGTGATTGTCTCCTCCACTGTTGGAGGGGAGTCTTGTCCACTGATGTGTCTCGGGGCCTGAAACAGCGTTGGCACATGATAGTAGCTCAACGATATGAATGAAAGGATAATTTGCAGATTAAGTTGTTATTCTGGGCTCTTCTCTGGTGGAGAGATCAGTGAGGTCTTTATGGCATGAGGGGACTATTGGAATATTCTCCCCCAAACATACAAACTATGAAAATAATGATGAAATAAAAAGAATTATAAGGGAGTACTATGAACAACTATATGCCAGAAAGATAGATAACTTAGACAAAATGGACAAATTCCTAGGGAGGCAGAGATTACCAAAACTGACTCAAGAGGAAATAGAACATCTGAACAGACCAATAACCAGTGAAAAGATTGAATTAGGAATTTAAAAACTTCCCACAAAGAAAAGCCCAGACCCGGCTGACTTCACTGGTGAATTCTACCAAATGTTTAAAGAACATCAATTCTCCACAAACTCTTCCAGAAAACACAAGAAGAGGAAACACTTCCCATCTTGTTCTGTAAGGCCGGCATTACCCTGATACCAAAACCGGACGAAGACATCACAAGAAAAGAAAACGGCAGATCGGTAAGTATCCCTTGTGAATACGGATGCAAAAATTCTCAACAAAATACTAGCAAATATATTTTAGGAGTAATATATAAAAAAGATGACACAGCAAAAATAGTCATATCCTGGGTAATTGTGAATTGTGATCATTCTACCACTCGCATGTCCCAGCCCCGTGGCTCCTTACAGATAATTCAGAAGAAAAAACTTATACTAACAGAAAGAGAGGCATAGATTCCAAAGCCTATGCCTATCTGTAGTTTAAACAGCCACTTTAAAAGGAAAACGTGGAAGAAGACAGAAGAAAAAAAAATAAAAGCACAAAAAGGGATACCTGGTGGCCCTAAAAATCCTGGATTTCCTGGATATCCTTTTTGACCAGCTGGGCCCATCTCACCTCGATGACCTGGCATTCCTGGTGGTCCAGGTTCTCCAGGAAATCCTGACCTATCCAAGCCCGGAATACCTGGGTCTCCCCTTGGCCCTGTTTCGCCTCTTCTGCCTATATATGAATAAATGAATGAATGAACACACGAGTGCGTTCCCCACCAACTCCAGAAATATTTTATGGCTTTAAATATTTAGCTCTGTGATTTTGGGCAAACCACACACTTATCTGCTTGATTGATTTAGGTCCCCTTCTGTAAAATTTCTAAGATCCCTTCTGGCTTTAACATTCTCTGTTTCAATGATTCATGCAGTAATAAAAGTGTAGAATTTAGATTTATTTTCTAGTCCTGCAGGCACATCCTGGGACTGCACTTTATGACTGTGGCTCAGTCTTTCACCTGCAGAATACACATAGAGCCACTCACGTGGAGGCGAGCCACCAGATGCTTCTGGAAACAATAATAGCACCACTATAACAATTAACGTCTTGGCCAAAAATTTGTTTCTGAACATGTAAACAGTATGATAGCCCACAGGCATTAGCTGAGTTCTAAAGGACTCTTCCCAGAAATAGTTCACAGATCTAGTTGAGAGGAGCCAAAAAGATAGAGTAAGTTTGCCATGATCTGAACCATCTAGCCTGCGTAATTTAAATTTATTTTTATACCTTTTCTTTTATGTTGCTTGCAAAGCAATCAACTATGTATTTTAGTTTATAACTTGTTAAACACATATCTTTGCATACATTCACTCTATTTTAATAATCAGGATAAATTTACCACTTTAATATCTTTTTTTTTTTTTTTATAATTTTGTTTATTTATTTTTCCCCCAAAGCCCCAGTAGATAATTGTATGTCATAGTTGCACATCCTTCTAGTTGCTGTATGTGGGACTCAGCCTCAGCTTGGCCGGAGAAGCAGTGTGTCTGTGCGTGCCCGGGATCTGAACCCCGGCCGCCAGCATCGGAGCGCACGCACTTAACCGCTAGGCCACGGGGCCGGTCCATCACTTTAATATCTTAATGGAAGTATTAAATGTAAAACTTTTTCTGCGAGTTTATATATATAAACATATGGAAGTATACATCAAAATATACCTTCAGTGTTCCTATTTTCTTGCATAAAAGACACAAACCAATTTTACTACTATATTAACTTCAGTTCTTTTCCTCTGTAGGTAGTACTCACTGCAACAAGTCCATGACAATGAAGTTTACATTTCTGAAATAACATTTCCCATTGAACAGTGGTCAGGACTTGTTGCTGGACAGGTCCCATGTGAGGCAGCAAAGTCAGAGCAGGAGGCCCATGCTATCACCTGCCCACCTGGTGATTGGTTTGGAGGCCCTCCTCCTACCTTGTTGCCCTTTCAATCCATTTAAGCCTGGAAGTCCTTGGACTCCCCTGGGACCCTCTGTGCACCTTCCTGGGAGTCCTTTTTCTCCAGGTGGTCCGGGTTGCCCTGGATCCCCTGCAAAATAGAGTCCAAGAATATACTCAGATGCCAAAACCCAAGATCCTAGTATTGCTATCTCAGTCATTGTCCTGTAACTTTCCCCCCCTAAATCCGACATATATTTACCACCATTAATATGTCTTATATGGAGGACACTCATTAAAAAGGAGAGAAGGAAGGAAGGAAGAAGGAAAGAAGGAACAAAGGTAGGGCAGCAATGTTGAATGGAAAAATAATTAGGCCCCACAGATTCTATCTATTGAGCTAGAAGTTTGTTTGAGAAGAATTTTTCACCCTTGAGCACCTCCACACTCCATTTGCTGCATTTTAGCTGAGCTCACAGTGGAGAAAAGTAATCACACTGGCTATTGTACCTCGTGGTCCATCAAGCCCTCCAGTTCCTGGAAATCCAGGGAGACCTGGAAGTCCAGGGTGTCCAATTTCTCCATTTTCCCCAGAAATGCCTCTTTCTCCTGGAAAACCTGGTATTCCTGGTTCTCCAGGCATGGCTAGTCCTGGTTCTCCCTATAGCACAGAAATTATGTTAGTTTTACTACATAATGCTTCCAAATCCTTATTGGCTATTGACTGGTCTTTAGGGCTATTTACTTGAAAATAATATTTCCATCACAGAGGATCTAAGTCCCTTTTACACAGTCACCACCATTCCATCAACTTTCCGTTTTCAACTCTAGTTGCTGACTTTTCTATAAAATTACGCTTAACAATTTCTTCAGAGCCTCCACTTTTTTAGAAGACTGTGGAATTTTCTGTAAATAGTCTAGGTGTTGCTACTTTTAATAGTTTTTTCATAGCTATCTACATTTCTTTCTAGCGTTCTCCCGTTTTAAATACTCTTAATGTTTCTGAAGATTAAGAAGAATAGATTCTTCTTCTATTTTCCTTTCTAAAGGGAGGGATGGTTCAGAGAAACTTAAAAAAATAATGTATCATCATCTACAAATATATCGATAATTTCTGCACACAGAATGTCCCGCCTGGCAGGAGCATCTTAAGTGGGCGAGTGTAATTGTTCCTCCTCTCCCCCATATCAGACTGAATTTTAATTCTTGAAGACCTTGGCTCCTGGGAGGCCTGGTTCTCCAGGTAACCCTGCCTTTCCCATTTCTCCAGGATAACCCGGTGATCCTTTTGATCCTGGAAAACCTTGGTCTCCTACAGAGAAAAAAATAATAAAGGTTGTAGGATTAGTCTTATTAAAAGATGCTAAGCAGTTTTTCTCTTATTGTATCTAATGTTTTTATGAGGCAAGCAGCTAGAGATGTTTTTATGAAAGTTTGAATGATGAGAAAGCCAACTGCTAAATTACCAATTAAAAAAAATTTCACTTCCCAATCAGATTACGTTGGTTCCCAATTTTTAAAATGACCTTCTCCATTTTTGTTGTTTACCACTGCTACAATTTTAATTTAACAATTCTTTAAATACTGATACTGGTTGACCATTTGGCTGACTTTTTCTTTGAAGTATACTTTGCATACAGTGTATAGCCAACTGAATTTTTACATGTGTATATATATGCATGCAAGCATGACCCAGATCAAGATATAAAGCATTTCCAGCACCCAGATAGCCTTTCTCAACACGAGTTGCTCAGGAGAATTCCTCCCTAATGCCCTATAGTGTCCATTGAATGTAATGAAGTAACTTCTCTCTTATGTATTTATAACAGGAGGATTGAGACAGGAGTCACACACATCATTTTCTCTGTTCTGTGGTTCGGAAAAGGAAACCTCCATGAAGTAAGGCTGCATTCAGAGAGTTCTTTCATGCTCCTATTGATCAATTTTTAATTCACTTTTAGTTCGTGGGATTCACTAGGTTCAACTGGGAAATTTTGAATCTGTACTTTCAAGGAGCTCTTAGGCTAGTTCTGGTTCTCAAGAGTTTACAGTCTCCTTCCAAAGTGTGACTGCGTAGGAGTTACACACTAAGATACAATTTATTAATGCAGAGTCCAAGAAGGACTAGGCAAAAATATGGGACAGGCTGCATTACTTCAGATAGCATTAGGAAGAAATCCAAGAAATTGGCATCAAAGCCATTCTTGGAAATGAGAAATGTGACGATGTTTTCCATTTCAAATACTCGTACGTTAAAACCAATATTCCCATATTTGGGCAGAACTGATGTCTGATAAACATTGATGACATATTAATCCAAGAGATGAAGCACCAAAAAGAGGGATTATATTTTGACAAACATTTTAAATAAAATTGAAACAAACATGAAATTATCATAAAATCTGATGACAACACAGAGACTGAGATGACTCATATGTCATCCTGGACAGGACACTTTGTTGTGTTTTTCAGTGGGGAGACTTGGGTTATTAATAAGTTCTCAGCATCTGGATTTCTTTGCAGTGTTTTCCCTTTGATGGGAAAGAACACTTTTCCCTAAAGGAAAATAACTTCTGTAATTTATTTTGGAGCATAGAGGGAAATCAGCTATTTGTGATTTAATAGTTCCTTTTTTATTATAAAAGAAATGTATAAAGTGAAGAAATGTATAAATGTAAAAAGTGCAGACATCTTAAGAAACAAAAAATTCCTCATAATCCCACAATCAAGAAGAATGACTGAGGCCGGCCCCGTGGCATAGTGGTTACGTTCGCGCGCTCCACTTTGGCGGCCTGGGGTTCGCCGGTTTGGATCCTGGGCGTGGACCTGCTCACCACTCCTCAAGCCACGCTGAGGCGGCATCCCACATAGAGCAACTAGAAGGATGTACAACTGTGACATACAACTATCTACTGGGGCTTTGGGGAGGGAAAAAAAGAAAAGGGAAAAAAGGAGGAAGATTGGCAACAGATGTTAGTTCAGGGCCAATCTTCCTCAAAAAAAAAAAAAAGAAGAAGAATCACTATTACCATTTTGATGAATTTCCTCCCCATTTTTTTCTATTCATTAGAAAAATATGACCGAGATGAGATTGCATAAATCAATGTGAATGCTGCCTAACATTATTGTCAATTTTTTTCCCATTTAAGACTCTTGGGACACATCATTTTAAAGGATATTATGGCTATCTCCTATGTTATTCATTACATGTATTTGTATTTTCTTTTTTTTTAATTAATTAATTAATTTTTCCCCCAAAGACCCAGTAGATAGTTGTATGTCATAGCTGCACATCCTTCTAGTTGCTGTATGTGGGACGTGGCCTCAGCATGGCCAGAGAAGTGGTGCGTCTGTGCACACCCAGGATCCGAACCTGGGCCGCCAGCAGCGGAGGGCGTGCACTTAACCGCTAAGCCACGGAGCCAGCCCCTGTATTTTCTAAATATCCACAATGAACCTTATTTTTAAAAATTTTAAAATTTACCCTTAGGTCCAGGAGGCCCAGGAAATCCAATTCCTGGAATTCCTGGTTCACCATCAGCCCCAGGAATACCCGGATCATCACATTTTCCTACGAATCCAGGGATACCTTAGAAACACACATACATCCACATTAGCAACTTTCCTTTATCTTGCCCTAGAACAAAATGTCTAAGTTTCTGTGTCCTCCCAGACCTTTTTGGAAGTTTAGAAATAATTTTAACATAACCCCAACTGTATACTCTTTCTCCTAACCAAAGCACTAATCATTAGGAGCTGCAAATAATTTTGAAAATATAATTTAATTCCTAAAAAGAAATATTCTAGATATCTTGAACTACATAAGTCTCTTTCCATGCATGAAAAATTAAATTTTAGATCATACTGGCAAGAAATTAAGTTTTCAAATGAAGAAGCAGTGGGAACTATCCTGATTCACCACTGACAAACATTGCTTGTTCCTCCACCAAAAATCCATGAAGGTAGTTCTGCTCTTGAATTCCTCTTAAGTAATTATAGCAATTCTCCTTTGGAATCAGAAGCAGCAACAGGAATAATTTGAATAATCTCAAAGGACAACAGCAAGTCCCCTACCTGTTGGCTTGCTATCTGACAGGACTCTGGCCTGTACTCTCTCTTGGAGCCAGTGAATGTATTTTTTCCTTATAACAGGGACAGTATTTTTCCAGGAGGGTGAGGGTGCCCTCCAATGCCGTGCACCAGACTGGGCAGATGGGATACTCACCAGGTGGGCCTCGGGGGCCAGCACGGCCTGGGGGCCCTGGAAATCCTGGGAGCCCGGGGACTGGTGTCAAAACATTGAATTCTCCCTTAGGACCTTAAGAAAATTTATGATCGTAAGATTGGTTTGCATGTTGAAGCTTTTCTTTGTTCAGAAGAAAAAAATATGATTACATGCTATTTACAAACATATCCCAAGTAATATAAAAAACAGGCTCTGCTTCCCCAGGCTTTAAAACTTGCTTAAAGGTGACCAGCCCATAGACTCTTTCCTATTCAATCAACAAATATTTATAAACATCTGGTATTGTCTAAGTCTTGTTTTAATTAACAGCTCAATATGCTGGTCTATTGAAAAAGGGTCTATTCTAAAGAAAATTGATAATATGGAATTCAGCTTAAATGTTGGTGATTACTGGTAGGATGTTTATTTATTGGGTGACTAGTTTTCACAGAAAGGCTGTACGGTATATTGAACAACACATGAATGTAGCCTGACAAGCTGAACTGGGCTTAAATCTCGGCCCTGTTATTTATAACGTGGGCACATTTCCTAACCTCTCTGATAAGTTCCTCATGTGTCATCGGGGAAATCATGCCTACCCAGCCGGTAAAGATTTGAGATAATGTTCTGACCACAGTGGCCGAGGTTAAAAACATGTTAGTGATTAGCGTTGTCCATATATTCATATATTTATAGAAAAAATCGGTTTACAGTAGTATTATGGGAAAAATTTGATAATATATTTTACGACAATGGAGTCCTTCACTAAAAATTCACATTTAGAAAGAATAGAAGAGGGTTTAAAGATGGATTAGAAGAGGGGTCAGTAAACTTTTTCTGTAAAAGACCAGATAGTAAATCATTTAGGCTTTGTGGCCCAGATGGTCTCTGTCACGACTACTCAACTCTGCCATGACAGCTTGAGAGCAGCCAGAAACAAGATGTAAATGAGTGAGTGTGGCTGTGTGCCAATAAAACTTTATTTATGGACACTGAAACTTGAATTTCATGTAATTTTCATGTTTTGGAAATATTAAGTTTTTTTCCCCAATCACTTAAAAATATAAAAACCATTCTTAGCTTGTGGGCCATACATAAATAGGTGGTGGGCTGGATTTGGACTGTGGGCCGCCATATTTGGCCAATCCCTGGATTAGAACAGCAGCCTCAGAAGTAAGGTGCAGGGCCGGCCCTGTAGCATAGAGGTGAAGTGCTCGCACTCCGCTTTGGCGGCCTGGGGTTCGCAGGTTCGGATCCTGGGCGCGCACCAATGCACTGCTTGTCAAGCCATGCTATGGTGGCGTCCCATATAAAGTAGAGGAAGATGGGCACGGATGTTAGCCCAGGGCCAGTCTTCCTCAGCAAAAAAAAAAAAAAAAAGAGGAGGATTGGCATCGGATGTTATCTCAGGCTGATCTTCCTTCCAAAAAAAAAAAGAACGTGAGAAAATAATACATATAAATAATCTTAAAATAAACTTTACATATATGTGTGGACAGAAATGCATGACTACAATTTGTAATATATATGAACACTATGGGGATGTACACTCAAAATTTTTTACTGGTGAAAGATATTATAAAAAGATTTGGAGAACACTGGTTTATTGGGTCTCACCCTTTAAAGTGATTTTAGAAGTAAAAAATGACCATGGTGGCATTATTTGTTTAAAACTGTCAGTAACATGCAATTCTCATCTTCTGCCGTGTTCTTCGCCACAAACATTGAGGATCAGATTTCTCCTGAATCCAGCAACTATGTTCAGTACGTGTGGATCGCAAAGTTACTGGGACTTTAAAACTATTATCAGACGACTTTTCTTCATTTGTCTTAGATATTTTGAAGTTTTATTTATAAATTGTCTATTGGGTTATAGATCAAAAAGAATAAATTTGCAATAACATTAGTGGGCCCTTGAGTCCTGGAAGGGGCTTCTTAAGATCAATTTCATAGGTTTTTGCCTCCTCTTTGTTTATCATAACTGACTTCCACTCATCCCTTAGGATCTGTTCATTCCATATATTTATATTAGTAATGGATATCGACTATCCTAGGAAATTTCAGCTGAATTGCTCAATAATAGGGAAAAAACGGATTTTCTCTAACATACCCTACATGTTCTTTCCTAGTGTCTACGAGTTGACGTAGTCTAGTTATTAGAAGCAAGTTTCTATACATTCATTGGTCTTGAGGGAGCTTCACTAGTTCTAGGAAGCATCAACCCGCTCCAAAGGAAAACAGGACTGGAAAGAAAACTAACCAACCGGCTTCTCCAGGTGGTCCAGGGGCTCCAGGAACTCCTTGGGTCCCCTTTGGACCAGGCTCTCCCTGTGGTCCGTAGTCTGACGGTCCAGCTGGTCCTACGGGTCCTGGGGACCCAGGCGTGCCAGGATCCCCTGGAGGACCCTGGTCCCCCTTCTCACCACTCAGGGCCTGTGACAATAGAATTATGTTTGAATAGTGCTTCATTCCTGTATCCCCTCACACAAGTTAATCCTACCGTGAATATGAATACACTTAGGTCATCATTGAGAAGATCTTGAATTAAAAAGCAGTTGGCATTTGAAGGGAATTATTACTAAAATAAGAGCACTGTATGGTTTTTGCTGTTTTGTGCTTTTGGGAATTTAGCAAATTTCATTAACTTGGAATACTTTTGAGTCCCACTTCACACGTCCTACAGTGAGATACCACCCCTATGATAATAGCCCTTAAAACTTAATTCAAATCAGCCAACAGATTAAATGACATTAGAGGCGACATTCATGTTAATGGCATATTTCTAAAATAAAACCGGTACAGCAAACTTTAATTTGATTGGTTTTCACTAGTATTTTCATTACAAAAGAGATATTCTATCTGTATTAATTTTTTCTTATAAAATACCATCTTTTTAATTACATAGGCTGTAGCTTTGAAAATGAGTTGTATATTTTAAAGATGTTAAATTTGACAAAATAATAAAAGTTCCCCTTTTTCCCCAACATGGTCCCAAATAATAAATTTGACTGGATTTTTCTTTGTTCAATATTAACAGGTGGCTAAGTAGTCCTTTTTTTATAGTGACAGGGCATAAAACTCAAATCAGCTCCTTGATTTTCTCTCACTTTCTGGGATATCTTTACTGGAACTAATAAATAAATTAGTGAGATATAGATGGGAGCATCATGTGAACTGTATTAATACTAGACCAAAAGAATTCTAGACTCTGTCCCTCTATAAGCAAAATACCACCTGGGGGAAGCCTGGCAGTTGGCCAAAGGAGAGTCTGAAACATTAGTCCTGCTGGCTGCTCCCAGCCAAACAGTGTTTTGTAGTCAAAAAGGTTTAGGAAAGACTGAATATCATATCTACATCTTGGGGAGTCACAGTTCATATTCTGATATTAAGGGTCTGTAAATGAATCTTTAAATTCGTTTGCCATGTTTCCCTGTTCGAGATGGAACCTTTTCATTGAATAACACTGATTAACCCTGAGAGAAACTGGCATTTCGTAGACCAGGCTGGGCAGCACGTCTTGCAAACTTCTCATAGATACATTGTGAGGGCTGGTCAGCCTCTGACTCCGTGACATTTTAAAACAGATCCTAGTAGGAATCTCTCAAATGAAGAGAGATTCTATCCCAGGAAAAGAGAGAGAATTTACACAAACTTAAATATTATGAATCACAAAACATTTGATCTCTTTATTTGACAACCCTACCTGTAAATATTGTCCTTTTGTGCATTTATTTTTATTTAAAAGTATGATCATTGCCCCAAAAGTATTAACTAAAACCTTCCTTTATTGGTCATTTTCTGAACTTCTCTATAAACTCATTTGATACAAATATGGAATTGTAACTGGTATAAGAGGCAAGGTCATTATCAATGTAGAATTTTCTTTGGGCTAAAAAAATTATTAAATGCTACCTATTTATTTTGTCAAAGTACTCTAAATATTTACTGGTGTTATTACTGCTCATTTGAAGATGCCCCACTCTGCAGTTGGAATGATGAACTGTGCTGAGTGGCCAAATGATTTTTTGAAAGGAAATCACCTTACCTCTTAATTTCAGAGCATTTAATTTATCGGAAGAGTAATTTGAATGAAGTTACTAAATACCAACCAGTTCGCCTTTCGGTCCTGGTAATCCTTTTGCTCCTGGAGTTCCAGGAATTCCATCCAAGCCCTTTCTTCCAGGATGCCCTCGGGGCCCAGGATCCCCCGGGGCACCCACCTGTCCCTCTGGCTGAGATGCTTCACCTCTTTCTCCTTTAAGTCCTGGGTCACCCCGAGCACCCGGGAACCCCTAGGGCGGTACAGAAATACATCTGCATTGCATTCACTTAGAGTTGTTCTTGTGTCAATCTTAAAAAAAATGTCAACAAGAACTTTTCAACTTTAAGGAACGTGGATTTTTTTTTTTCAGAAACTTTCTGTGGTCCACAAGTATAATTTCAATCTTTTGGGGGTTTTTTGCTTCCAAAACTGGAAAAGAATTCAGTTAGTATAGTTCAATGCAACACACAATAATATAATTCAATAGGATGCACCCATCATCATAATTTAGAGTATGTGAGAATATTGGTAAATTTTAACATGCACCTCTGGATAAATTGATTTAAATATATTTATCCATATGTAACTTTCTGATTCACTAGGATAATTACAAGTTTAACTTTTTAACAACTTTATTGATAACAGTGCAATTGACATACCATAAAATGTATCCTTTGTAAGAATACAATTTAATGATTTTTAGTAAATTTATACATTTATGCCACAATCACCACAATCCAGTGTTAAAACATTTCCATCACTTCCCCAAATTCCCTCCAACCCATTTACAGTCAATCCTTGTTCCCCACCTCAGCCCCAGGCAACCACTGATCTACAATGTCTCTGATACCATTTTAAATGATTATAAATTCATTAATTCATTCACGTACTCATTCACACATCATTCATTTATTCATTTAATCAACAGGTTTCTATTAAGTGCCTACTCTTTGCCAGGCACCAAACTGATAACCTAAGTGTGGTGCAACTGTATTTCCAGAGGGCTCCATTTTCCAAATTGAAATTAAACCTCAAAACTATGAAAACTTACTGGAAATCCTGGAAGACCCACACTTCCTGGGGACCCTGAGTTTCCTCTAACGCCAGCTGCTCCGCGTCCTCCTGCAAAGTAATTAATTATTAAATATTCATGGAACACCAACTCTGAGTAGCTAGGATAATGCAGTGTAGGAAGAAAACAGGGTGTTTTCTTCTGAGGAAAGACAATTTCTGTCTTAAAATACACAGTGCAAGAAGAGAGCAGGAGTAAATAAGTGGATAAGAGATAATGTCAAAAATAAGAACTCTTTTAAATTTTAGCTTCCTAAAATTCTTATCTTTATAATTTTGAGATTTATTTTTTCTAATGATAAAAGTATTGTGTGCTCACTGTAAAGAAATTATATAGAAAGAAGAGAATAAAAATCATCCATAAATCTACTACCAGAAGACAATGTTTGCTAAAATTGTCATGCATATTACTCATAAAATTTAATATCCATAAATGCATAGGACTTATAGACACACTATTTTGGAATCCTACTATATATATATCAATAAATATAGATTTACAGCTTCACTTTAAATGGCCGCATAGTAGCCTATTGGGTAGATGAATTATTTATTCAGCTAACTGCTGTTTTTAGACATTTACACTGTTTTTTCAACTTTCAGCCATTGTAAACAATGCAATGATAAATATCTCTGGATATTTAGTTCTCCAAATTTACCCAATTATTTCCTTTATAATAAATGCCTAAAAGTCTAACTCCAGGACCAAATGGGCAAAAACTTTTCTGAGGCTTTGGATATCTGTTGCCAAATTTCATTTTATCGTACAATTTTATAATTATAGGTATTTAAATATCTCTGGGGGTGGGCCCCATGGCCTAGTGGTTAGGTTCGGTGTGCTCTGCTTTGGCAGCCCAGGTTCACGGGTTTGGATCCTGGGTACAGACCTACACCACTCATCAGCCATGCTGTGGGGGCATCCCACATACAAAATGGGGGAAGATTGGCACAGATGTTAGCTCAGCACTAATCTTCCTCAAGCGAAAAAAAAA